GTCCTCCCGGACGCATCGTCCCCACGCACTGGGCTACCGGGCCAGGGTGGCACTAGCCCCCTGGTTACGGTGGGGACGCCCCCCAGGCCTTTATTAATAATGCGCTGTTATTAATTACGCAGTTTAATTAATTATGCGCATGCAGCGTCTACCAGCGGCTCGCTGGTGCTGCCTTCATAAAAAGCCTTTTGCTGGCTGGCATTCTGCACGCAGGCCTCGGACTCCGGAGCCAGTTAAGGCACCGGCGATGTTTTGGCACTGATGATGTTTTTGGCCAACGCCGACCTCCCTCCAACCGCCGGCACAGCTGCGCGTGTAAACAGGAAACCCCAACACCGCAGCTCCCGCCAGACCCAGAAACCCCAACCCCACAGYAGGCAAAAAGACTCCTTCCCAAAAAACATCAGCGGCTCGGCGGGCGTGGGGGCGGCTGGCAGAGGGGATGGGTGGCAGCCCAGGTTCATTTGAATGCGAGCCATGCAGAGCGCTCGCCACCGCCACTGAGGTGTGGAAATCTCGCCCAGACGAGGAGGGGRTTCTTCCCTGCTCGCAGGTTTAGAGGGAAAAAAAAAAAAAAAAAAGCCTTATTAGAAGACGGAATTTTAGGCAGCAAATCCGGCCCCTCTCAATGGCTGCGCTGCGCTCCGGGAAGGCTGTGAAATGGAGGGGTTCGTTTTGGGGGGATGTAGGGAGWGTGTGGTGCCCCAGTTGGCTGGAAGCCCCTTCCCTGCCCTCCCCATCAGCATCTCCAGCAATCATCACACCCTGGAGTGTTCGGTTTCCCATGGGAAAAGGGAAATACCAGGCTGGCAGCGACATGAAAATGAAACAACCTATAGCCTGGTCAAAATTGAAATTCRAAATCCAAACTGCCAGCAGCGGTGCCTGGTGGGAGGGCAGTCTGGCAGCAGGCTGGGGTGCCATGTCCCTGGCAGGAATGCAGCCTGTGCAGGTCTGTGTCCTGCTGGGATGGCAGTGGTGCCCCTCTGCAAGGACACATTACCCACACACCCACTGTGGATAAGGGCCATGTCCCTTCAGAAGCTCACAGAGCCATTGGAGCTACTGAATAGATCCCTGCACGTYGGTAGGTGCAGGGCAAAATTAAGGATGGAAAATTTTAAATGTATTTATTTTTACAGGTGATGTTCCAGCAAAATATTCCCAGTGAATTGACAAGCACAGGCATCCTCCCCAGCCATGGGCACCCTAAACAGCCCTGAGTGGAAGCTGCCAGGCAGTGACAGACCAACAGTCCAAGAAAGGGGCCAGGAGAAGGGAAACTGCTCTGGGAGGTCAGGAAAGGCCAGCTAACCACCAAAACTTGGGAGCATTTTGATATCACRATGAGCCCTGGCCACAGGGGCTCGAGGGCTCTTTTCTGCTCCTGGGAAGTCRGGGATGGGTGCAGGGATGTCGCCAGCCCAGGCCAGAGGCAATAAAGCGCCTGGAGTGATGCAGCAAAACAGGATGGAGTCGYGTGTCGAAATAAATCATCCATGGAGGCAAGGCGGGGAGGAGGAGGAGGTTTTCTGCTCTCCAGCCTCCCTGTGTCTAACAAAGCCTCAGAAAGCCCAGGTGGGCAGCAAGAGCCGGGGCAGGATCTGGCCCCAGCTGTCCCAGAGCGGAGCTGGTCCTGGCCAGGCACTCTGCTGCTCCAGTTCTGCCAGGAGCTGGTTTTTCCATCCCTTCCCAGCTCCCACGGCTTCACCTTGTGGCAGGCAATGCACAGAGCTGCCAGGAGTGATAAAATGGCTGTCCCCCAAATTTATGGAGTTTATCTGTGAATAACTCTTGGAGGTGAAGCAGCCGTTGAGCCGGGGAGGAGGAAGGCTTCACTTGGGGAAAAAGCTCTCCCAGGGGCAATGCAGGGTGGGCAGGAGCCCAGAGCTAATTCCAGGGATCAGCAGGGACGTGCCCTATGCCCCCCAACCCCCCCAGCTTGTAGGGCTGGAGCATTGCTGGGGTGAACTCGCCGCTCGCCCACACCGGGGGAAGCCGAGGGCTCGTTTCCCATCCGCAGCGCGTTTATGAGCAGCTAAGTCCTGAAGAGGCTTTGGCACATCTCCGTGGCTCCCGTGGAGCGTGTTTAGCACAGCAGAGATCGCTGCTTCTTCCAGCAGCACGTGCATGCCCGGGATTTCCACRCCGGCCAGGCATTGTGCCCCATGCTCTCTTCCCATGCCAATCTTTTCTTCTCCTCCCCCCCAAAAAAAAGCGTTGTACCGATGAGCTATGGAGCASYGTCCTGATTCCTGGGGAAGCACAGCTGAGGCTGAGCAGGCTGGAGCCTCCCCCTCATACCCCCTCCYCACTCTGCTGCAGTAACATCCATCCTAAGTTTCTGAGCCTCTTCTAATTTTGGAGGCCTTTAGCAAAGCAGGCGCTGTTGCAGCCAAACGAGGCTGCCAATGTTTCCTTTAAAAGCTGCTTTCACTCCGAAGGACTCTTCTAGATGGTTTGCTTTTAATAGCAGGCTGCAGGGTGCAACGCCCAAGTCGTGGCCAGGGCTGTCTTTGGAGGGAGAAGGGACTGGATGGGCATTGGGACCGGGATTGGGGACGTGCAGGGAGTCACACGGACACACCGTGGGCCATGGCAGYGCTCACGTCCATCCCTTTCCCRGTTCAGAGCAGCAAAGATCCTCACCCCCTTGCAGAGCTGATCCCACCGCAGCCCATTTCCTCCCTTCCCTCACCAGCTCTGGGGGAAATGTTTACAGCAGAGAGGGACAGAGATACAGCCCCTGATCGTGGTGATATCTCAGGGGAGAAGGAAAGGCCAGAGGAGCCGTGGAGAAGGGGGAGGCAGTGAGGTCAGCGCTCCGGTAGGTGTGAGCGCTTTGAAAAACCCAATTGCTGCTTCGGTACAACCAGATTCAGGAAAATGAAGCTGAAGTGTGAAAAATGAAAGTGAAAAGATAGGAACCAACCCACGGCTATTTATTCTAAAAATACTGACCTAAATACTTAAGCGCACATATAAAAGTAGTTGTCTTTGCTGATTTCCTTTATGAGAGTCTCCTGGTTTGGTTATTATTTCATCCAGAAACCAGAAGATGAGGATTTTTGGAGACATGGAGGCTGTGACATTCTGAAGTCTTTTGCCCAAAGCTGTATGCCCAAATGTCATCTGAAAGCCCAGCTCTGAAATTCATTCATTAAGCTAACAAGGACCTGTGGTGAGCAGCCCACGCCTCTGCTGCTGGGAATGGGGAAGGCTTTGGATGGCTCTCGTGTTTCTTGCTGGGTGGGATGATGGCAGTGGCCGTGGGCACACTGTGGGCATGGCAAAGCCTCCAGAAGAGATTTGGGAGCAGAGGGAGGCACTGGGACAGTGGCCTTGGCACAAAGCAACCCTCAGCTTGTGGCAGTGGCAGAGCTGGGCTACAGTTCCCATCTGGGCTGGGGTTCACATTTGGGCTGGGGTTCACATCTGGGCTGTTGTTTCAGGCCGTCACCAGCCTCTGCCCACTCACCACTCACCTGGCAGCAGCCAGGGCCAGGGTGTGGGGAGGCTGTGGGCAGCCTGAGTGCTGCAAAACTCCCTGGGAGCAGCGACACGACACAGCCGGCATAGCAGAGCCATCGCAGAGGACCATTGCCATCCTGCAGGCAGCCCTCTAATCAGATATTTTGGGGTTTCCCACATCCCTGCGGGTGTCTGGGCCAAGTAATGGGGTGAATGGCGAGGGAAACCCAGGTGCAGGGCCACGGGCAGTGCATGGGGACCCCTGCGTGGTCACAGCCCCCGATGCRGCACCGTGACCTGCTCCGCACGACCTTCCCGGGGAAGATTATGAAAGTGCATTACGTGTGGAGGCAAAACGGATGGAGGAGCGGGCAGGAGTGCTGGGTCAGCAAGTCGTGCAGGCTGGATGCGAGCGGTGAGTGCTCAGAGCGAGGAGGAAAAGACCGCGCTGGAAACAGTAAAGGTAAAAGCTGGGGGAAGGGGGGGAAGTGGCTCCCTGCCTGAAGGTCCCAGGGGGGAGAGCCAGTCACAGCATTTCCAAATGACAAAGTGAAGGTGCGAGCCAGGAAAACGTGGGCTTGATAAAATGGGTTGGTTTTGGGGTTTTTTTGAGTTTGGAAAAGGGGTTTTCAGTGCAGTGTAGGAGCAGGAAAGGGCACGTGGTCTGTGGCCTGGGGTGAGTCTGTTCTGCACTGCATTCTGCAGACCAGGGGATGGATGAGCTCCAGCCAGGTCCCCTCACTGCCTGCTGGGAAGAGAGGTGGCCATGCGTGGCTGGGYGTGTGAGCAGAGCTACAACGAGCCCTCCAAGCAGCAAGAACTGGGTTTGAACTTGGAGGATGTCGCAGAGCTGAGTGTCCCTGAGGACGCTGGCTCCAGTGGCAGGCTGCTGACTGGAAAGCCTTCCCCACAGCCCTGAAGTCCCCCTCCTYCCCACAAAACTCCCAGGAGCGATGGAGAAAACCCTCGTGGGCAGCAGAGCCAGTTGGACCACGGCTCACCCTGCAGCAATTTTTTACCTAAAATAAGGCTGCTAAAATAAGCGCCCAAACTGTCACCGTGCTCGCAGCAGATTTACAGCTCCACRCGCGCACCTGGCACCGGTCCACCCCGCTGTGGGAGCACCCACGGGGCCAGTGGCAGCAGGGGGGATGATCTGCCCCAAAATTCAAGGTCACCCTCTGTCAGAGGCGCTCCGGCCCCGCTGCAGGGTGCTGGAGGGGGTGGCTGGCTCAGGGCGCTGCCGGCGGCACGTATCAGGCGGAGACAGATGGAAGAGGTGACAGATAAGGGACTCAGCCTGGAGAAGAAACAGGAGAGATAGGACCCAAAGGCTCTGCCCCGGCAGAGAGAGGGARGCTCAAAGCAGACCCAGCAGAGCTGGATTTAGATCCCGTAACGCCGGCTGGGCGCCTGTTCCCTGCCTAAACCCCTCCTCGCCRAGGGCAGGGGGGTGAGGAAACCACTGATGTTGAACTGCAGATATTTAGGTGGTGTGGTGGGGTTTCTGCCTGGCTCCTGAAGCTGCTGRAAACTGCTGCCACGCTGGAGAGGCTGCGATCCTTCACTTGAGAACGGCTGACACGGGGCACAGCTCAAAGGCCGTGCTTCTGGGATAAGCGAGAAAATCCCAAGGCAGGCACTGTCCCATTGTCTGTAGGGTCTGCAGGCGCACACAGCTCTGCTGGGATGTCCTGGAAGGGTCCCTGCTATGCCATTGCCATAAGAGACCTACAGGCAGCACTTGTCCCTTGCAGCAGGCTCACCTCACRCTGGTGCCCTGCTCTGGCTGAGTCTGGGGACGTGGGCAAGGGGCAAAGAACGTGGGAACCAGACTCACCCAGAGCAGCTGGYACTGGCAAGGTCAGCAGAGGTGACACTTTGTCAAGGGCATGGGATAACCAGGGTCTGACATTTTGGATTTTGCCTTTGCCCTCTTCTTCAGGAGTCAAACCACGAGTGCGAGTTTGGAGCTTGCATATCGTCCGTGACAGGGAAGTCCTGCTCCTCGGCTGTTTTCTCCATCATTTTCTCCCTTTGAGCCTTCTACCTCTGTCTCCTCCGAAACGACAGGAGCCCACAGAGTTAAAATGCAGCAGAGTTTCCCAGCCTTTCCCTGGGGAAAGCCCAGGAGCCATGTCCCACAGGGGTGCTCCTGCTGGGCACTTCGCAGTGCCTGCCTGCAGCCGAGGTTAGCGCAGGAATTGCGGGTGAGGAATGGGAGCTGCCACGCAGGGAGCTGCTGGGGAATAGCTGCCACGCTTTACATTCACAGCCCATCTATTTTGCAATAACTTCACCATGATGTTCCCACATAGACAAGCCTAAGCTAGCATAGATAATGAAATGGGTTAAAGGAGACAGGCGGAGGGAGAGGAGAGGAGCCAGCAACTGGTAGTAAATCAGGGAGAGAACAGGGTTACTTTAAATTCAAGGTCTTGGTGGCAGGGCAAGTTTGGTTTGTGCCAGGAGGCAATGGGGTTCAGAGGATGGGACACTGTTGGGAACACAGCAGTGTCTCCTTTGTAGGGCCACCAACTTGTGTCCCCCATAATCCCCCACCCTGCTCCTCTCATTCCCCTGTGCCTGCCCCGTGGGTGTCACTGGCATTAAGCCCAGCCAAGGGCGTCCATCCTGGGTGGTAAAGGGTGATCACAGGATGCTGAAGGAGCTGCCAGGGCAGGCAGTGGGCTCTGCTCCKCAAGGGGAAGGTCCTGCAGGCTCGCATCAACTCAGGACCTGGGGAGACCCAGCCGCCGAGACTCCCCCACCTTTGGCACGGGCTTCGAGGCAGTCCAAACAAGCTAATTAAATCCTGCTCTGCTTAATCAGAGCCATTGAGCACCAGTCAGAAGAAATTAATCCCGTGTTTTATTAGATGCTGTTTGAAGTCGTGTTTGGCACCTCATCCTCGGTTCTCATCTCCTTCTGGGGAAGGAAGAAGGACATCTGCGGGGAAGAGCGAGGGTGCAGCAGATGGCAGCGGGGATGATTCAGGGGCTCGAGGAAGGAGCTGTGACTCCAGCGGCATCCCTGGGGGGAAGGGGGGGTGAGACACCTCTCCCTGCATCCCACAGCTTACCCCCCTCCCCACGGCTGAGAGTCTGCGAGCCAGGCAGGCATCCCAAAAATACATGTTCCTCCGCATTGCATGCTAATGGCTCTGCTCGAGAGGTCCCACCGCAATTAAAGCGCGAGGAGCATTAATATGCAACGTGGAGAGGCCACTCTTCCCACAGCTACTCCCTCCCAAACCTGTCCTTCCTGCTGCACATCCCTGCCCACTGGGAGCTGCCCACGGGGATCCCACAGCAGTCCCAGCAGAGCCTCTGGCAGCGTGCAGTGAATTTGAGCCTTCCTTTGCTGTGCCCAGGGGATGCTGCCTTTCCCCCAGCACCCAGCACCTTCTCCTGCCTTTGGGCTCAGCAGAGCAGGATCTGTTGGGTACCTACTAGGTGGGTGCCATGCAACACAGCCCTGGCATGGGAGACACCCTGACAGCTGGGAGAAATCCACAGGCAGGTGTTTAAAACAACCAGCCGGGTGCCGGTTTGGGGTTTTTAATGATTTCTGGTGCTTTAATTGCTGCAACCCAAGGAAAACGCCTGATGAAGAGAAAGTCTGGCCAAGTAAGGTAGCCCACAGGTCCTCCAAGCCTTGGGAGCGCTCGGTAGCCTTGGTACATCCTCTTACAACTCAGCTAGGTGAAGCTGCTGGCTTTGGGTGTGGGGATTAATTTTTTTTTCCTAAATTTCCTGTCATAACTTGCATTAAAACTTTGCAGAGCCATTTAATTGCGTTCTGCGGTGGTGATGATATGAAATTAGTCTCCCTTCTGATCTTTAGCTAAGTTGGTCCAAAGCACCGGCTTATAATTTGCTCTAATCACCGGGTCGCGGAAGATGCGAAGGCAGGGCCRGTGCCCGGTGAATTCACACGGGCTGGGAGTTCCTGCCCTTTGCTGTGCTGGCATTTGGCAGCTGGCAGGTCAGGCTCTGCCACCCTGGAATGCCAGTGTTGATACCTCCTTTTGGTGCCACTTTGGGAAGTTTTTCATCAACTGTTCTCGGCCATTTCCTCTAGAAACAGCTGGGAATTGCAGCTGTCTGGAGGAGAGGAGGGAAAGCCAAAGTGGTTTCCCATCTCCCTCCTCGGAGCATCTYGGAAACATCCTCCACTCCTGACTGGAGACCTGCGACCAGACTGCAGAAGGCACCTAAAGACACAGGGATCCCATCTCCCATCTCATTTTCCTGGGCTCGCTTCATGTCACAAACTGCTCCAGGGCCTGGGGAGATGAGGTGGCTGAGTTTTGCCTACTCACCCATCCCAGAAAATCAGTGAGTTAGAAGAAAACAAGCTCCCAATGAACAGGAGCAGCGCAGGGCAATAYTCTGGGCACAGAGAGGCCCTTTTGCTGCCGAGGGCACAGCGCCCGTCATTCCARTGGCATTAGTGCTTTCCACCTCCACGCAGGAGGTACAGGATAGCAGGGTATTATTTTTAACCGGGGATATTTAGTGAACKTCTCACGTGCTGCTGGAGGGTCAGATTTATCCCATAGCCTCAGTCCCAGGGGACACTCCCAGTTATTTTTGAACCCATCAGAGCAGCAGAGAAGCAGAGGGATGCGAAGGCTCAGGAGACACRAAGTCTGGGGTTTGTCTGGTCTGTCCCTCCAGTCTATGCGTAGAGCAGAGCCCCACACGCCTGCCTTGTCATGGCTGCGTCACCCCGGCCCCCACCCTACAAACCAAAACTTGGGCGAAGCCCCAGGTTTTTCCCTTTCTGCTGAGAGGATCTCGGACGCTTGCAAGTTTTGATCCTTTTCGACCTACCGCATTGCAAGACAATTTTCTCCCCCACCCCAGTTCAATTTAAACCTCAATTTAAGCTGTGAAGCGAGTTTGGCCCTGCTCAGGCAGGTCCCGATGGCCGTGAACATTCCCACGGGCGCCGCAGCGCTGCCGCCGCCGCAGCGGTCCCTCCCACGCCCCGCGGCTCCCCACGCCGCCGCCCCGAGCCTTGGCCCCGCTCAGACCCGACATCCCCGGKGTTCTAAGCGTAACCTCCCCGTTTCAGCAGCGGGGAACTCATCACACAACCCCTGCCCGGCGCGCAGCCGCCGTCCCGGCTGGTTTTTGTWCAGCCGGTCACTTTGGAGGTGGAGGTGAGGCCAGGGCAGGGGGAAGGAGCTGCTTGAAGCCCTTATTTCAGTGCTGCCCCAACATCTGTCCCCATGGGCACTGCCACCCGAGGCCGGCACTGATGGCTGGTTTGGTGGGCTCCTGCAGAAATGTTGGTGGGGCGAGGGATGCAAAACCCTGACTCCTAAATTAGGGTGCCCTGGGACATAGCGTGGCAGTGCCAAAGCCCACGGAGAGAGGCAGAAGGGCTCCCCACAGCCCACCCTGCGCGACCCCCACCCAGCCCAGAGGGGTGGCGTTCCCCGTGTGTTTTTAAGGACAGCGAARCGAACAAGCCCCGTGACTGGAGCTAGCAGCCGGGACAGCCTGTCCCCGGGCTCCACTCGGGGCTCCGCGCAGCCGGGCGCGCCTGGCCCCGAGGTGACCGCCCGCAGCGCGGGGTCGGGGTGCGCGGGGTCGGGGTGCGCGGCGCCGGGCGGGACCCGCCGGGGCCGGTCCGGAGGAGAAGGCGGCGTGCCCATTCCCCGGCCGCCTCCCTCCCTCCTTCCTCCTCTCTCTCTCTCTGTCTGTCGCTGCCTCCCGCCGTGTCCGTCCCGCCCGTTCCCGGCGGGTCCCGCCCGGCGCCGCGGAGCGGCAGCGCCCGCCCGGCCGCACCGGCGCTCCCCCGAGCCCCCCCGACGGGCGGTTTCAAGTCCCCCCTTCCGAGGTCTCCGCGGCGCCGGCCAATCAGCGCTCGCTGCGCGCCGCGGCCCGCCGTCTTAAAGGGGCCGCGCACCGAGCGGAGCGGGGGAGGCGGCGCTGCCCGCGGGCCCAGCCGGGCGCGCTCTAGGACCGCGCTCCGCCGCCGCCCGCCCTCCCTGCCCGCCGCGGGAGGCCGCTCACCGCCTCCGGAGCGGG